ATTAGGATATTAGTGACCAATGATTAGGATGTTAGTGACCAGTGATTAGGATGTTAGTGAACAATGATTAGGATATTAGTGACCAATGATTAGGATGTTAGTGACCAGTGATTAGGATGTTAGTGAACAATGATTAGGATATTAGTGACCAATGATTAGGATGTTAGTGACCAGTGATTAGGATGTTAGTGAACAATGATTAGGATGTAAGTGACCAATGATTAGGGTGCCAATCACCAGTGATTAGGATGTTAGTGAACAATGATTAGGATATTAGTGACCAATGATTAGGATGTTAGTGACCAGTGATTAGGATGTTAGTGAACAATGATTAGGATGTAAGTGACCAATGATTAGGGTGCCAATCACCAATGATTAGGATGAAAGTTGTATTGATATAACATTTGGTACAAAAGAATTTCTTGGCAAAATGGACAATTTTATCAGAAAGCACCTTAAAAAAGTCACATTTTTATTTTTGGCATATTGTAGAGGACCACCCTATTGTTTATTGTTAACACAAACCATCCTGCAGTTGGGGACGTGTTCTACGAAAGAAGACAAGGAGGCTTTCGCCATCGTCTCGGTTCCGGTGATGGAGATCCGAGATCTGGACTTTGCCAACGACGCCAGCGCCATGCTGAGCACCGTTGTGGACCAGTTCAGCTCCGGCTTCATCAGCCAGAARGACAGAAAGTACGCCCTTTTGAATTTTTTTTAAACGTTGGAGCTAAAGATGGGACACTGAGTGGTCTGGTGGTCTTCAGGTTCGCCATCAAGCTGCTGGAGGACGTGGTCTTCTTCGTGGCCGACGTGGTGAACAGCGGCCAGCCGGTCCTGGACGTGGTCATGACCAAACCCAACAGAGAACGTCAGAAACTGATGAGAGAACAGAACATCCTCAAACAGGTCCGCTGCTGAACCCAATCTGTGTCCATGTGTCTGTTAGCAAAATATCTCATGAACCACTGGACAGGTTAGATTTAACTTTCAGAGTGATCAAAAGATGAAGCTGCAGCTGCTTAAACTTTAGAGCCAACCTGAGTCAAGATAGATGACACAGCTAACAGCTAATCACACACAAGCTAACAGCTAAAAGCTACTTAGAGTTGAGCTAACAGCTGATCACACACAAACTAACAGCTAAAAGCTACTTAGAGTTGAGCTAACAGCTGATCACACACAAGCTAACAGCTAAAGGCTAACAAGACTTTGGCTAACAGCTAATTAGAGTTGAGCTAACAGCTGATTACACACAAGCTAACAGCTGACATGGGCTAGCAGTTAATCAAAATTAAGCTATATTAACCAGAGTTGGGTCAACAGCTAATCACACTTGAGCTAACAGCTAATAGCCGATCAAACTTGGACTATTAGCCAATTAGAGTTGAGCTAAAAGCTAATCACACTTGAACTAGCAGATAATTGCTAATCAGACTTAGGCTTACAGTAAATCAAAGTTGAGTTTACCGCTAATAAGAGTTGGGCTTACCGCTAATGGCTAATTAGATTAAAGCTAACGACCAATTAAGAGTTGAGCTAACAGCTAATGGCTAATCAGACTAAATCTAACAGTCATGTAGAGTACAGCTAACAGCTAATCAGAGTTTAGCTGTCGGTCAGATATGGGCTAGCAGCCAATCCGAGTAGAGCTAACAGGCAATAAGAGTTGAGATATTGGCTAATCTCAATCTGACAGCCAATCAGAGTGCTGGTCATTGCTAACAGCTATTCAGACTGAAGCTAACAGCTAATGAGAGCAGGAATAACCTCACACCATCAGAATCTGACCCAGACCAATCAGTGCTGCTGATTACCCACAATGCACTGCAGGTGACATTTTCTGTTTGTTCAGATCTTTGGGATCCTGAAGGCCCCCTTCAAGGACCGGGGAGATGAGGGCCCCCTGCTGTGTCTGGAGGAGCTGGCGGACCAGAAGAACGCTCCCTTCCAGTACATGTTGAGACTCTGCTACAGAGTCCTGAGACACTCGCAGGACGACTACCGCAAGAACCAGGTGAGGACCTGAACTGAACCTGGACCAGAAACTCGGACCTGAACTCTTGTCATGAAAAGTAGGAAACATTTCCTGAGATTTGTGTTCTCGTTCTTCAGGAGCACATCGCCAAGCAGTTCGGTGTGATGCAGAGTCAGATCGGTTACGACATCCTGGCAGAGGACACCATCACTGCTCTGCTGCACAACAACCGCAAACTGCTGGAGAAACACATCACCAAGACCGAGGTGGAGACCTTCGTCAGCCTGGTCCGGAAGAACCGAGAGCCCAGGTACCCGAGAGGGAGGAGGGGTCTGCTGAAAGACCCCGAGGAAACACTGTCAAAGTTTTAAAAAAGATCAAATCCCGCCCCCTGCAGAGGTTCTGTATGAGGATGTTGGTTCTGTATGATGATGCTGGTTCTGTAGACCACGTGTTGCAGGACTCTGAGGGTCCAGCCGTGTCTCAGAGGGTTCTTCTACCTGTGCAGGTTTCTGGATTACCTCTCAGACCTGTGTGTGTCCAACAACGTGGCCATCCCCGTCACCCAGGAGCTGATCTGTAAATGTGTGCTGGAACCCAAAAACCAGGACATCCTCATCAAGACGCAGTGAGTCCGAGCGAGGACACTTCCTGTTTTTACCTCACAGAGTTTAACCTGCAGGGTCTGAGTCTGGGTCCATCAGAGGCTGCAGCTCTATAATCCTCCATTTTATTCATGAAAACACACCATCCACATGCAGAATCATATTAAAGCCATAACTTTAATCTTAGTCCACTGGTTTACGTTATAAAGCCTGAGAAGAAACTGTTTTATTAGTTGTCAGCTCCAGCCAGCAGGGGGCGATCAGGATCAATGAGGACAGTTTGCTTGTTTTTCATAAAGAGTGCACATTACATCTTAAAACAATGATTATACATGAAATTATTTATTTTATTTTACATTTTGATCTATGTAATATGTAGATATATGTATATGATGATTATACTTAGCTTTACTACTTTCGTACAGAAAAAAAAAACAACTTTTTTTTAAACTTGAAGACGGATCAGTTTGACCACAACAAAACAGGAGGGTTAAGTTTAACAGTGGATTAATGCTGGATTAGGGTTTTAAAGACTTGTTCATCTGTTTTCTTCCAGGCGCCGTGTGTCTAAAGACACGCCCCCTGGTGGCATTCAGGGAGAATACATGGGGATGGAGGAGTATGGAGATGAAGACGAGGTGGACCTGTCTTTGTCCTGTTGTTCTGTTAAATCCAACATTCATATGAGCTGGAAACATGTGACCTGTTCTTTGTTTGTGATTGTTTGTTGTTTTCCTGCCCGTTTGGTTGGATGATTCTTAAAAACCCTAATTTCCTGATGGGTTGTGGTCTCCTGGTCTCCTGGGTTCAGGTGTGGCTGGTCTGGACCGATAAGACCAACGAGAAGCAGGAGAAGAGCATCAGGCAGCTGGCTCAGGAGGCGAGACAAGGGAACGCTCACGACGAGAATGTCCTCACCTACTACAGGTGCGTCCTCGCTCACTCATGGTCCGGACCTCTGTGGAGTTCTCTGAACACAGGGTCTGTGTGTCTGCGGACTCATCCAGGTACCAGCTGAAGCTCTTCGCCCGCATGTGTCTGGACCGTCAGTACCTGGCCATCGACGAGATCTCCAAGCAGCTGGACGTGGAGCTCATCTTCCTCTGCATGATGGACGAGACGCTGCCCTTCGACCTGCGGGCCTCTTTCTGCCGCCTCATGCTGCACGCCCACGTGGACCGAGACCCCCAGGAGCTGGTGACCCCCGTCAAGTTCGCCCGCCTCTGGACCGAGATCCCAAACTCCATCACCATCAAAGAGTTGGTGGATTTTAACACAGAGTTTCAGCTTGTACAGATCAGGCAGGAAAACCAAGTCTCAGGCGGTTCCTGCCCCAGGATCTGTCTCTGAGGGGTCTGCTGGGGGATTAAGAAGCTTACTGCAGCAGACCCAGCATTAGAATCAGAATCAGAATCGCCTTTATTTTCATTATAATTTGCATTACAATGAAACTGGGTTTGCTGCTCCAAGGTGCTTGTTTTTTTAGACACAATAAAATAAATTTAGGAGAGAAGACAATAAAATAGACGAGCTAAATCAAATAGACAAAGACGTGCACTATGAAAAAAAAAATCAAAGAGTTTCTGTATAAAGAAATGAAAAATAGGGAAATTTTACAGTATTTTCTTCTTCATTGTTTGTAATATTGCACATTAGAGATGTTCCTGAGAGTATTGATCTTGAGGTATATTGCACATGGGGTTGAAGAATTGAATGTTTGTTGTTGTTATTTTTTATTGTTCAGTCCCCTGATGGCTCTTGGGAAGAAGCTGTCCCTGAGCCTATTTGTCCGGGTTTTGTGTGAGCCGTACCATCGGCCCGAGGGTAGCAGGTTAAACAGGTGGTTACTGGGGTGGGATGGGTCTTTGATGAGGCTTGGAGCTCTGCTTAGGTAGTGAGAGGTGGTAATGTCCTCCAGACTGGGCAGAGAGCAGCCAGTGATCCACTGGACAGTGTTGATCACCCTCTGCAGTCGTAGGTGTAGAGGGTGAACAGCAGAGGGCTCAGTACACCGCCTTGAGGGCAGCCGGTGCTGAGTGTGATAGTGGAGGAGAGGTGAAGGCCTAATTTCACAGACTGTGGGCGGTCTGTGAGGAAGTTCTGTATCCACTGGCAGATGGGGGTGGAGATGCCCAGAATCTGTAGCTTCTGGACCAGGATCCCTGGGATGATGTGGTTGAACACTGATCTGAAGTCCAGGAAGAGCATCTTCAGGTAGCTCCCCCTATGCTCCAGGTGACTCAGTGTGGTGTGGGGTGAGATGTTGATGGCATCTTCCGTGGAGCGATTTTCCCTGTAGGCAAACTGGTGAGGGTCCAGAGTGGGAGGTAGACAGGCTCTGAGGTGTTGAAAGATCAGTCTTTCGAAGCACTTCATGACCACTGGTGTAAGTAACCTGGCCTGTAGTCATGATGCTCTCCACTGTGGACTTTTTGAGACTGGGATAATGGTGGAGGATTTGAGGCAGCGGCAGGGACCCGTTGAACATGCCAGTTGGTCGGCACACGCTTTTAGCACCTTTCCAGGTACACCATCARGGCTGGCCACCTTCCTGGGGTCACCGCCTTCAACACACGTCTCACTTCATGTTCCTGGAGTGTTTACATGTTAGTGTTAGAAGGTGGTGGATGTGGAGTTGTTGTTGGTCTGTCTGCTTCAAAGCGGACAAAGAATCGGTTCAGCACCTCTGTCCCTGTCCCCCGATTTAAAGGCAGTGTTGCGCCACAATCCAAACAGATGAGAGTATCGTCAGCGTACGGTGTGACTTTGGCAGAGCTCAGGTTGGTTTTTCTCTCTGAACTCTTGTGTCTCGTCCTCAGTTATGATTCGAACTTGAACGACAGCAGAGACAACAAGAAGAACCGCTTTGCCAACACCATGGTGTTCATGGAGGAGTACCTGAACAACGTTCTGCACGAGGAGCTGCCGTTCCACAACGAGGAGAAAAATAAACTCACTTACGAGGTCCTTCCCCACAGCGTTCTTCATCCCTCCTTCGTCCTGTCTCCTCCTCTCCTCACCTGTCTCTGTCCTCCTGCAGGTGGTGAGTCTGGCTCGACATCTCATCTACTTTGGTTTCTACAGCTTCTTCGAGCTCCTCAGACTCACCAGGACCCTGCTGGGGATCATCGACTGCCGACCCAACCCTGCACACGGCGGCCTGGTGTTCCCYGAGGAAACATCAGGTTTTTGTTCTGCTTCTCCTTAATTCTGAGGGAAACAACCTGTTCATGGTGATAACTCCACACACCTGTGTCCTCCTGTCCCTGAAGTGAAGAACGTGAAGCGCTCCATCCACGGCATGGGCCAGATGATGTCCACCATGGTCCTCAACAGGAAGCCGTCCTTATTTGGAGGTGGGGGAGCCAGAGGGGCGGGGTTTGTGCTCGAAGGACAGCGAGGCGGTAAAGACAGTATGGACAAGATGGACCTGACAGTGATGGACACCAAACTGAAGATCCTGGAGATCCTGCAGGTCAGAGACGTTCAAGTATCAAAAATACTTTATAAGTTCTGAAGCTTCAGCTTCAAGTTTTACTGAAAACGTTTGAATAAAACACACTTTTCAAAAGAAAAGCAGATTGTATTTATTAAAAAGAACCAATCAGAGGACAGAAACTTCCTGTTTCCTCAGTTCATCCTGAACGTCCGTCTGGATTACCGCCTGTCCTTCCTGCTGTCCGTCTTCAAGAAGGAGTTCGTGGACGTTTATCCAATGGCTGAAGCCGACGCCACGACCAACACGGAGCATGCTGGTAAACCTCCGCAGAACCAGAACCAGAACCAGAACTGTTACGAAATATTAACCAAACAGAGAATAACAGAACTCATTTTAATCTTTTATATCCTGATGTCCTGTTTCACAGTTTGGACACAACCAATAACCAGTGCTCTATAAAGTACCACAAAGTGATACTTGAGTAAAAGTACAAGTATCTTACCAAAATCTTACTTTGGTAAAAGTTGAAGTCTCCTTTAGGAATATTACTTGAGTAAAAGTCTTAAAGTATNGGATGTTCCTGCGGGTTCTGATCCACCTCACCATGCACAACTACGCCCCCCTGGTGTCCGGAGCGCTGCAGCTGCTCTTCAGACACTTCAGCCAGAGACAGGAAGTCCTGCACACCTTCAAACAGGTGCGGACCACAGGAACCCGATCAGAACCTGAAACACCAGAACTAAACAGGATTATTATTTGATGAAAGCTCCTCTGGGCTGCAGGTCCAGCTGCTGATCACGGGTCAGGACGTGGACAACTACAAGCTGATCAAGGCGGACCTGGACCGCCTGCGGACCCTGGTGGAGAAGTCAGAGCTGTGGGTGGAGAAGAAGAGCTCCGGAGGAGACGGCAAGAAGGACAAGACGGNTTATTAATGAGTTCTCTTTTGATGTCACTTCCTGTTTCACTTTAGTTGAGCCAAATTCCTTAGAAAATAGGCCAGTTATGTGACGAAATGGGTAAAATCATGTGTACAATGCCAATTTTCTTTAGTATAAAGATGTTTTCTTTGACTTTTTGTATTTGAAGGATAGGCATGTCACAGACACTTCAAAGGAACCAGTAAATATTTAGTGATACAATCCAAATTCAGACAGACAGGAAGTAGATTGGTTGAAACAGGAAGCAGATTTGGTTGAAACAGGAAGTGGTTGTAAACTCCAGTGGGGTCAGCTTCCTTCAGTTCAGATCAGATCAGACCTGAAGGTTTTAGATCAGGTGGTCCAAGTTGAAGAAAAGCCAGTGTACAGAGTTCTTCATGTAGGAAATGAGACGTGCACATGTTGTCTTACCGTCTGCGTCCTGCAGGGGGCGTCAGAGAGCACGTCGCAGAAGAAGGAGAAGCTGGAAAAAGGTAACGAGAGCTACCAGAACGTCAAAGAGGTGAGAACACGTCTCCGTCTGCATCCTGTTTTTCAGTTTGTCTTTATTTTGTGACGTTTCTGCAAAACAATCAATCTGTCAATCAGTCAGTGTGGGCGGGGCTGTGATGTCACTTCCTGTTGATGATTACTTGACTGCTAAGATTAATTATGAACGATTTCTCCTGTGATTTCCAGCATTCATTAAATGTAGAAAAATAAATAATTTAAAATATAATTTAACTGATAAATAAAATCTACTTTTGTTTAAACTAACTCTTTAAAATCTGCAGAAATATAAATTATTTTTAAACTCAGGAACAGTTTTAGTCTTACTGGGAAACTTTCTGAAAGAGGAGCTTTTTT